CCCAAGAGATGACTCTAATGCAGTATTCGGCGCTAGGACTGTGATCTGCGCCGGTCGCACTGGTCGGACGAGCATGACGGCGTCTGACATGTCATAATCTAACAGTGGGTGTTGATCTCGCCGCCGCTTATCCGCTTTCTCCTTTCCCACGGCTATTGGGTGCGGCTCCCAAGATCCGTCCTGGATCATTCTCAAGTCGATTGTGTTGAGGGAGTTGATGCAGGCAATAAATATGCAAGAAAGAGGTGAGGAGCAAGGCAAAAGGTACGAACGGTAAGGTGTTGTAGAGGGGATAGTAGTAGGAATAAGAACTGCAGAAGGCCCATTGGCCCATACGAGGCAGTTCCTATTATAACCATCGAATGAGAAGGGGATAGTAATATAAATAAGAAGAGGATAGCAAGGGAACGTAAGAGAAAACAATGAACAGAAAAAAGAGAGAAGAGAGAAAGAAAGATAAATGGAAGGGGTAGGCTTATTTTCGGTCACGTTTGTTAGAAAAATTAGAGCATTTGAGTATATACTGTGAAAGGGAAGAGTCAACAGCAACAAAGCCAGGACTCAAGTCCATGTTGGGTACATTGTGTATTAGAGCCGATTCAACAAGACGGCGTCTGTGTAGAGTAGAGGCAGGAAAGATTATTTTGGAGGAAAACCAATCAATGGGATGATTAGAATCCCTCACATGACAGAAGAGAGCATTGTTAGTGTCTGCAGACTTAACTCTTGTGTTCTTTAAGTCTGTCATTCAGTGTGCGGCCAGTTTCGCCAAAGTATTGGAGAGGACAAGACGAACAGGAAATAGAGTAGACACGTGCGGCATTAGAAGCAGGAGGAGCAGTGTCAACTAGATTGCTACGAAGTGTGTTAGTTTGTCGAAAGGCGAGCTTTATGCCAAGAGGACGAAAGGTATTAGTAAAAGTTTTAAGTTCAGATATGAAGGGAAGGCATAGTACAGTGCTACTAGTGTTGGAAGCAGGTTTAGGATGAAAGAAATTTCGTTTAGCTTGAGAGTAGGCACAGTTGATGGAATGCAAAGGATAACCAAGGCGAGAGAATGATTTGTAGATAAAGGCAATTTCAGAATCAAGAAACTGAGGGTCGCTGATGCGTAGAGTGCGGAGGAAGAGAGAGACGAGGACACTTTTCTTAACAAAAGGAGGATGGTAGGAAAAGAAGTGAATGTACATGCCACAATGCATGGGTTTACGGTAGACAGAGAAAGAGAACCCAGACACAGAGCTGTGAACGTGAACGTCAAGAAAAGGAAGGAGAGAATTAGTGTCCCATTCAACTTTGAAATGGATGGCAGGAGCCAGATTGTTAAGAGAGGCGAGGAAAGGCTGGAAAAAGACTAAGATCATTAGGCCATAAAGCAAAAATGTCATCAACATAGCGAAGCCAGAGAGAGGGACGAGTATCAATAGAAGGAAGAAGAACAGTTTCGAAGTATTCCATGTAGAAATTAGCAAGAACAGGGGAGAGAGGGGAACCCATAGCGACACCGAAAGTTTGAGTGTAATATTTACCGTTGGAAGAGAAAGAGTTAGAGTCAACACTGTGGGAACCGACCTGTGAGATATATATTTATTTGATTTATATGAATTTATATAAAATTTATATTTATGTTAATTTATATACTTCGATAACAATTTGTATGATGTTTAGCGGACTGTATTTCTGCAAATTCTCACAAATCAATCCTTACACATTACGGGGGGGGGGGTTATATTAAATTTATATATATGCAGCCAATCAAACTACAGGATTAAACTACATATATTAGTAAATAAAGTTGGAGGTGCCTTATCATATTGTATTATAGGCTTAGTCCACCAGGTATAACTAGGATGTAGACACCAAATTATCCTCGTGAGAGGCTAGCTTCCATCACACAAGTAACTGATGTACCAAGATTAATTCTTGCTTCCTCTTCTTGTTCCTGTCAAAGGGCACTAGCTGTAAAGCCGGAATCCTAATATATGACAGCTATATCAGATGAAACATTTATATATTATTAGATAAGGACCAAGGCTTAATTACCTGTATTTAGTGGCTCGTTCGCATCCTAACCGGAATTAATCATATCTACCTAACATTACTGGCCAATAATGACTTAGATAAGATTTCGGAAAGAATCTTCCCTTGTGGTTGTTGACAGCGTATTGATAATGGTAGAACACTTAAGTTAATCTCCACAACACTTCGTCCAAGTGAAATTATAGGAGCGGAATTTGCTCCAGCCACTATGGTCTTAACAATGGCTGACCTCACCACCACTGACGCTCCTGGCTCACTTTGTCCAGATGTCAATAAGTGATAGAAGGGTCACATTTACTGTATTTTGATACTGATAATTAAGTTAATTCAAATGAGATGTTTTTATGATGTTAAAAGTCCAAAGACTAATGTATTTAAGAATAATTCCCAACAGAATAGTTTTTGAATTTATAGTACTATGTGGCAATGATATCCTGTTTTCTATTGACGGAAAATTCCACTACAAGCTACATTTACTATGGGTTAACTTGTGTATAGAACAGCAGCAATATTATCTGCCTATTATATTAAATATTAGTAAATGGTGTCGGGTTTGCCGACAAACACAAAGTTTAATGAGTTTGAGGAAAACGTCAGTGGGAAGCGGAGAGGAAGAAGACCCTCTGACGCCTTCTGTCTAAGGAAAGAGAGAACATCATCGAGCGGAACATTAATGAACAGAGAGTCGACATCAAGACTAAGCATCTAACAGGAGGGCTGCAGGCACAGTCTTTCTATTAAGTCCTGAGAGTGAGAGAGTGAAGGTGGGCAGGGGAAAAAGTGCCAAGGTAAGGTGTCAGGGTTTTAGCGAGCCAGGAGGCAAGAGGATAGCTGACAGAGCCCCGTGAAGAAATGATAGGACGAAGAGGAACACCAGGTTTATGAGTCTTAGGAAGACCATATAAATAAGGAAGGGAAGGGCAGATGACACGGAAACGTTTAATGAGATCAAAGTCAGGAAAACAAAGACTAAAGAGCTGTCTTAGTTTGCGGTTAAAGGAAGTTTTGAGGTGATCCAAAGGGTTAGAAGTCAGAGGAGCATAAGTGCGAGAGCCAGAGAGCAAGACATCGGCTTCTCGGAGGTAGTCCTCACGGTCAAGGACAACCACCGAATTGCCTTTGTCGGAAGGAAGGATAAGAAGAGTTGTTAGATTTCAGGGAGGCAAGGACAAGCTGGAAGCGACGAGGAAGGTGGTGATTTTTAGAAAACAAGCTGTCAAGAACGGGGATAAGGGCCCCTATAAAGGCAGGCAGGTCCGAAAGAGTACTAGAGTTAGAATTAACAAACCTGTCAAAGGCACTAATGAGATCAATGCCACAGCGTGGGCCAGGGGAAGTAGCAAAAGAAAGACCAAGACCAAGAAGTTCTTGCTGGTGCTTAGAAAGAGGGGAAGATGAAAGGTTGGTAACAGAGAGAGAGAGAGAGAGAGAGAGTATTTAGCCCAAGGACTGTTGGAGATCAGGCGTTGAGGTTTGTTGTGTAGTGTGGAGGAGTGGTGGGAAGAGGAGACGTGAGCAGTGTCACACGCAATGGGAATTATGATATTGCATAGATCACTGGGAAGAGAAGAGGACAGAAAGCGTTGATGTTGACGAACAGCAAGAAAAGCCTCGTCAACTTGCAAGGAGGTGGCATGAATAAGTTCTTGAAGAAGAAGGCGGGCATGTTCAGAGAAAGGAGAACCCGAGGTGTTGAACTGGAGAAAGTGAGATAAAGAAAGAGGGAGAACTTGCTCAGCAAGAATCTTTAAGAAACCTGAGCTAGTTCCCATACTCTAGGATTGGTCTGACATAAGTGGTCTACAAGATCCAGAACGATTCCTTACACAAGTTTCTAAAGGCCGAGTGTGTCGTGTGTGGTAGTGTGGATGAGTCTCTGAACATGTAAGCTCGCCCTCACTACATATATACGGAGAAGTTTTCTGATTTAGATGGTAGTTTTGATTTGTATATCATACAGCACCTTTCTGATTATCTTAAGGGCTATCACCGTGATTAAATAGCGTATACGTGTGTAATGTGGTCCCCTTAGAGTCCCCGAACATCGGTACACGTTCACAGCTTGGTTATAAACACTGCAGTATGGAGCACTACGAGGCCAGTCATTGACCACACCCTCGTGCGAGTGACCAGTTCTGATATATGATTAATAATTTCATCATTAGATGATTATTTTGAGATAAAGTTAGTATCTAAGCTTAATATAAGGGTGATTTAAGGATGATTTTTTATGTGGAAAATATAGAAAATTTCAGAAAAATTGGAAAGATGTGGAAAATTCAATTATATGTTTTAGTATGGTGGAATTTTTCACATCTGCTGACTCCTGTTAGCAGGCTGAGAGCTTTTTCCCATCCCAATAGCTCATGGTAAGCCTTATACCCTGTTGTATACGACCTGTCAATCGTTTATCAACCAGGTACTCAATCACTGCTCGATATACAGAGGCGTGCAGTTAAGGATTGGCACATAGTGAATCCTCAATGGCCAGAATACGAACCCATGCCAAAACGTTCGCCAAGGGCGAGTTGGTTACCACTGCGCCACCAATAGACTCGTTACATTGTGAAACTTAGTGTCATTAACTATGTTGTAATCTGAAACAACTCTGAACCTACTGTAAGACACTGTAGCTTAAATTAATAGTCACATATTATTTACCTATACTGTACATCGTAGGCAAGATAGATATACCATTATTTTGATACCTTACCCATTAAACAATTTCAAGGTGAAACGAAGTTATAATTGTTTTAATGAGTTAATATAGGCACAAGCTATTGGTTGAGACCATTGAGGAACACTTCTCGGTGCATAGTACAGAAATTACACCTTTCTCACTACTACTAATTAAGAGAAAAGCCGACCTTTTACAATATTTAAATATAATATAACTTTTGTATTGCATATGAAAAGCGGTAGGCAGAGTACGCAGTGGAGGAGGTCACCAGGTGTCTCACCTTCTGCAGGAGGGAGTAGGTGGCGAGGCCGGAGGTCACCAGGTGTCTCAGCTCCCTCACCGTGGTGCTGGGGTTCAGTCGCTGCTGGGAGGTCATCTCGTCTGTGTAGAGCATCACCTGCAACACATCGATACCGTCTTACAACATTGTATCACAACGACCTCAAGGATACATACCCAGAAAGGTGTCCCCAACACCTATGTGTATACATAAATTAAGAGTATACATTGGTTCGGAGCTATGTTCAAGGCAAAAGTATATTTACTGGATGGTTTATAAGCTCATGTCGTAGTCTTAATAATCTTCCAGAGGCTGATAGGCTTTGAGACCAACACCAACCAAACCAACCTTTGTACACTCTCACATTTGTACACTCTGTGGTGTGTCTTTAGGAAGAGTGAGCCTCAGGAGTATGCAACATATGGCCGTCCTCTAGCACCATAGCACTCTAGCACTCCTCACTTCGGGTCTTAATCCCGTTCCCTCGGTGTCCACCTAGGGGAAGCACCTTAGTCACCCACGGGGTTGAGTTTCCTGAAACCTGTCTTGCCCCCCGTGATAAGATAAGTCGACCGCTCCCGTGTATTAATCAAAAGTGCCAAAGATTAGGCTTCACTCCATCGACTTGACCTCCACAAAAGTAACGATTTCAAGGGCGCCAATCTGACCTGTATTCACCTGAGGCCTGATAATTTATTCTTAGTGATATATAATCGTCCAGTCCGATACTTATTCAATATTGTTGGTGCTCAGTAAACCTCAGACAAACAATAAGAACAATGAAGGACGGGAAGTAAACACCATATTAAAATTATTCACCGGTTACTAAAATTAAAGCTACAGAGTATCTAGAGATTTAGAGCTACAGAGTTTTCAGGCTGTAACTCTCTTATTTTACAGATGGCAACACTTCGCGAAAGTATGAAATGATATGGCAACACTCAAAGTCTCTGCAGATTATAAATCGTGAGGCTATCTTTTTCTCTCTTAACCGGTTATTTCTAAAACATTAGGCCTCTTGAAACTTCCCTTAGTTAATATAAGTACACTTTGACTCCACATGAATAATGAATAGATAACTAGAGTCTTAAATAAACAACGTATAATTTCACTATATGTCCGGCCTTTCTCCTCACATTATTTCTCGCCTCATACACTTAACATTTAATACACATTTCCTAGCAACAAAAAGGGAAGGGGAGGGCAAATTTATCTACCTTAATAATCGCTCCTGGAAGCTGTAATCTCTGCAGAACTTGGTGACAGTGTAGCTTCCTATAGTACTTAACGATGCTGAAGTAGATCTCCTCGCCGTTAGTTCCTCCATGAGATTTGCCACGGTTGGTCTCCTCAGAGGGTAGACTGCTCCCTACCACCGAGTTCCTCTCTTGGTCAGGTAGGAGGCAGTGAATGTCGCTGTCCTCCCTATGTCCTCACACTGGGTTACTGGTCCATTTCTCTTCTACCGCAGAGACGTGTAGTGCCATTGTTTACTCCCCAAGAGTTGTCTATGCTACACTGGACCAGGATTCTGCCACCCGAGTTACTCTACACAGCTTCTCTCTGCTGGAACGGCCTGCATGTTGCACCCCAGCGTCGCCTCTCGAAACAAATTTGGAGCTCCACCGTCGTTGAGCCTCTAGTGAACCTCTTTCACTGACCAACTCCACTACACTTCCTTAAAAGTCGACCAGAAGCTCCTACTTTTTGTTTCTCGAGAATTCGTCCCTCTGGAGGCTTGGAACTCTCTCCAAAACTAGGGACCATCAAGTGTCGCACCTGCTCGCTCTACTCCTGGTGGCTAGCAAGGAATGATTTCTGCGCCCGCCACAAGGGTGTCTGTCGTCACACCAGAGGCACTTCACGATTAGTCATCCTTGCCAAACCCCTGCCGCTGACCAGTCACGTCCCTTTGCATCCTGGCACCAAAATCCTCTGGAGTATCCTCGGCAGGGAAAACCTACTCCCTCCCAATTTGAACCACCATTTTATGGTGGAGCCATTCTCTCGCCTCCTCCCCATTCAAACTTATAACACAATTGTCTTCACTTTGTGGCATGTTGCCTCCTTTAAAAATGTATAGACTAAAACTAGGCTGCTTCTAGATATGTACAATGGGAGGAGTATGACTCTTACAGATGGGAGAGGAGAATACTAGCTGGATGCTGTAACATACCTTCCCCCCTCTAAATTATGTCAAACTGAATGGCAAGCACCAGAAAGGGCAACCGATGTCATTTCTCTCTCCGTACCCAATGTGCTTCTTCTCCAGTCTGTGGCAGACACCTCACCTTGCGTGGTCGCACCACTGTCTGACATGTCTCCCTTCTTAGCCTAACTGGGTTGAATTTCCTGACCACCCAGGTTGTTACCCAGTATGATCTGTATGTGCTTAAGCGGTAACCTAGGGCGACAGACACCCACGATCGCCTTTTTTACTCCATAATCTGCGATGAGCTGCACCTCGTGGAGGGGTAACCTCAATTCCGTCCTTAAGCTGTGTATCCTCACTGCTCCCACAGGTCGCCCATCAAAATCCTTGGGTAGAATTTCCTCGGTCACTAAACTCGCGTCAGCCCGCGTATCACGGAGCATCGTAACGTCGACAGAGTCCATCTCCCCAAACTACTTCAATGTCCCGCCCCTCCCCCCCCCCCCAAAAAAAAAAAAAGGGCTGGTGCCCCCAGCTTCAATTCCCAGCCTCTCTCGTTCAGACCGTCCACATAAAGGGTATGGGAAACCACCCTCTCCTCTTTCACGATCAGGCCCACCGTCTTCCTGGGTTGGTCACACTCTCCGGAATAATGCCCTTTCACTCCACAGTTAAGACCTAGTCCCACTATGGGGAGGACTTTCCCCAGCCACCTGGACTATAGTAGTGGCATTGGCGCCTTAGGCACGAATTTTGTTTTTTGGGGCAAATTCATCACAATGCTTTTAAAGAAATCTTATAGGGAAAATTCAGGGTTAATTCTTCTCTGTGTTCCTAAAGAAATCTTATGGGGGAAATTCAGGGTCAATTCGTCTCTGTGCTCTTAAAGAAATCATATGGACCGTTTTGGAATAAAAATTTTCAGAGAATAATTTTATTAGGAGTTTGTTAAAGAATTGTTATAGGAGAAATAAGCACTCTATACCCATTCAAGAGTAAAGTTCACAGAGTTCCCATGTTCAGACAATTAGGAGTTTCTTAAGTAAATCACAGTATCAGAAGTTAGTTCTTGGACCTGGCTCTATTTATTTCAGATATTTAGTTACGGTGCGAACTTAAAGAGTTCTTATGGGAGAAATTCAGTCCCAATTCCTCGCTGTGATCTTAAAGTGTTCTCATCGATAAAAATAATCTCTACGGACTTGAGCAGATATATTTAAAAAGTTCATCAGAAGTTAGTTCTTGGACCCGGCTCTATACATTTATAAGTTACCGAGCTCCGGTTCTTGTCCCTGCCTTAGTAGCCTCTCGTATCTTCGTTAATAACCAATCAATTCCCCTGAGATTTAAACTTGGTATTTCCTAACGTAGTAAAATAGATCAAAGCAATTACCGAGCTCCAACTCCTGTCCTCCACCTTAGTTCAACGTTCATCAATATCTGCTTAGTTATTCCAGAACACTGGCACCCGCCTCTCACCTTATCAAAGTAAACATAATCTCTCCTTCAATACCCTTGTTTACTTATCTGTGTAAATAATCAATCACCAGGTAATAATCACATGGTCATAACTCACCTTATCTCCCCCCTTCCTCCCTATCCATGCCCCCCACGCACGTCTGCTTACCTATCTCCCTCTTACCCTCAGCTCCTGCATCACCTCACCCCCTTTATCTTCTCCCTCCCTTATCCCCCTTCCCTAAATCCACCCAAACCTCCCTCCCTCCCTCCCTCCCACTCCAACATTTAAAAATACAGCTATTATCCAATAATCTTACTGTATTTGTGTATTCTATCCATGTTCACAGCATATTCTCTGTACAAAGTTTATACTCATTATTCATGTTCTCTGCAAGTTCAAATCATATTTTTTGCCTGTTTCTCCATGTTCTTCATATTTTTTGCCTGTTTCTCCATGTTCTTCATACTTTCTTTCATGATCTCTACAAATTCCCGTCATGTTATTTGTGTTGTTTGTCATGTTCTCATAATGTTCTTAGCATGTTCTTCACAAGTTCGTTGGTCATTCTTCTTATACTCTATATATATTCTCTTTATGTTAATTCCATTCATATTCCTCGCATGTTCACTGCATTCATCGCATTCTCTTACATGTTCTTTAAAATCAAATGTACAATTGTTTCTTCTGTTTAGTAACTAGTTCTTTGTCAAATATTCTCAACAGCATTACAGTTCCCAAACAAATTTAGTTACAAATTATTTAGTTATTTACATATTATTTATTACAAAGTATTTAGTCATTCAGTCACTGAGTTTATTTAAAAAAACAATGTCAATGTAATTCTTTTTATCAAATTATTTCTTACCAGCACTGTTCTTAAATAAATCTGTACTTTATACAGTAACAAATTTACTAATACACTCTTTTCTTAACGTTTCTTAACTAAAATCATTCGTCAATCAACTGAAAATAGTCAAGTGTAACTTCTTTAAATCATTTCTTAAATAAAATGTATTGTTGTTTCGTTCTAAAATAAATTAGCCAAAGGATTTTTTCCATCGTCGTTCATAACTAAATAACATTTCTCTCAACTGAAATAGTCACGTTCATTATCTTTTCATATTTTCTTAACTAAAATAACACTTAGCTGAAATTAGTTTACGGTAACATTTTTTCATAATTTCTTAACTATCATTATGCTACTTTCGGTGCAAAAATAGTCAAAGGGATCTTTCAACACTATTCGTTACTACCACTATATTTCGTGGAGTAAGAAAAATAGTCAAGTGTAACTTCTTTAAATCATTTCTTAACTAAAATAACTCTCCAGAACATTTTTGCACATCAAATGATACTCTCATGTCATCTTTATTCTCCAATGACATGCTCAAAGACATCAAAATACTACTCATGCCATCAAAAGACATTCTCAGAGACATCAAAACTTATTCTCAGAGTCATCAGAGGTAATCTCTAACTCACTTCGTACATCAAAAAACTTTATAAGACATCTTTGTGCATCAAAGAAACTTTCTAAGACATCTTTGTGCATTAAAGAAACATTCTAAGACAGCTTCATGCATTCAAGAATCTCTCCAAGACATCTTCACACACATTAAAAGTCATGTTCAGCATCATCAAAATCACTCTTCATGCATTAAGATATTCCCTCTGTGTTGTATTTACTTAAGAAGGACACTCTCTAATCATCTTCATTCATTAATTAATCCCTCAAATTCATTCATTAATTAATCTCTCAAAGACATCTTTACTCAGCAATAATACATTCCAAGATCATTTATTTAACATTTTTACTTAAGAAGGATTCTCACTCTCTAAACATCTTCATTCATTTAAAGAATCTCTCCAAGACAACGATAATACATTCTGATATAATTTAATTAACATTTGCACTCTTTAACATGACTTTATATAAAGATTTACTCTCTAGAACTTCTTTGTACATCAAATAATACTCTCACTGTAACAAACATGGTTTTTCATTCAATGAATAGTCAATTATATATTTTTTCGTATTTTAAACTTATCATTACTTTTTATGTAGTAATAAAACTTACTAAAGACATGTCATTATGTAGTTACAAATAACTTTAAGTACTATGTCAAACTAAACGTGTACAACATTTTGTACTAATCTTACGCATCATGTAATAATGAGTAAAAACTTTCTATCAATTTAATCCAAAGGTCCAGCATGTTATCAGCATTTTACTGTGTTTCACGTCTCTGATAATAATAAGTCTCACAAAAACATGACTTTGTATGTAACTAGTTCACCTGTTCTTAACCAACTTGCATTTCTGTTTATTAATTTCTCTGTTAAAAAATGTATTCTCTCTTCCACTTTATCCTAACCTAATTTTTCCTGTACTAGCCTATCCTAACATACCTTCTCTTCCCTTACCTAACCTGACTTACCTGATGCAACTTACCCATCCTGACCTGACCAACTTACATAACTTACCAACTTAACTTACATAACTCTTATCATTAATTACTTATTAATTAATCACTTATCTACCCTCATGTACCTAACCTACCCTTAACAAACATAACTTACCTACTCTGACATAACGTATATATAACTTACCAAACTTAACTTTCTTAACATAACTTATTTAAAGCATCATCTTATTCTCTCTGAAACTTCTTCTCTTCATTTATTTACCCAGACAACACTCTTTTACACTTACAGTTACAAACCTGAACTTAAATATTGCATGCTCAAATTTATGTAAATCCATACATAAAATACCAATGACACATACACTTTTTACATAAATTGCATAAATACTTACACAAAATATATATGTAGCATACTCATTTACAAATACAATTACAATTACACTTGCAAACTTATAATTACATTTACAAACTTATACGTCTTAAACAAATACTTAGTTCACTCACACAAACAAAACACAGACTGGAACATACACACAATCTCTCAGTTCATTAACTTACTCAGTAAAGTTATTGCCGAGATTTAACTGGTGGATAGTCAGTTAAACTTTCGCAAGTTCTCTTGTATATACAAACTCTTTCAAACTTATGCAACTTATATAAACTTAATCAAACATACAAAAAAATGATGTACTAACACAGATCATATGTACTCTTAGACAAACTATCACAACTCTTACAAAACACTTAGACATTTTTGAGAAACTCTTGTACATATATAAATTTCAGAACATTGCACAAAATACATATCCAGTTAATTTATCTATCTTATGTTAGCCCTGTTCTTATTTCCATTTCCCTTTGTTTGTTCTGCTTCCAATCTCTAATATTCTCGGAAAAGTATTGTTTATGCAACCTTTCCTTATATAACTCAATAACCTTAACCTAACCCACCCAACCCTAACCTAACCCACCAACCAACTCTTAATCTTCCTTTTCTCCTCTTAGTCTAATGTCCCCTTGTACATATCCTTCCCTCCCTCTTTCTTCCTTCCTCTCTTTCCCTCCCTCCTTCTCTCTCCCTGCCTCTCTCTCCCTTCCTCTCTCCCTCCCTGTCTCCCTCCCTCTTTCACTACCTCTCTCTTTCCCTTCCTCCCTCCCTCTTTATCTCCATCCACTTGGGCTGGACGGTAGAGCAACAGTCTCGCTTCATGCAAGTCGGCGTTCAATCCCCGACCCTCCACATGGTTTGATCCCATTCCTTCCCTCTCCCAGTCCCATCCCAAATCCTTATCATGACACCTTCCAAGTGCTATATAGTCGTAATGGCTTGGCGCTTTTCCCCTGATAATTCCATTCTCTCTCTCTCTCTCTCTCTCTCTCTCTCTCTCTCTCTCTCTCTCTCTCTCTCTCTCTCTCTCTCTCTCTCTCTCTCTCTCTCCCTTTCCCTCCCTCCCTCTCTCCCCTTGCCCTTGCATTTTTATGTATCTTTATCTTTCTTTGTCTGAGGTCTTAATGGATCTGTTTCTTTACTACTTTACTTACATTATTACTAAGATAAAGAATGAATTTATATAAGAAGCGAAGTAAAAGAGGGAGGGAAGGATATGTACAAGGGGAGATTAGATTAAGAGAAGAAAAGGAAGGTTAAGAGGGAAGGTAGACCTAAATCAAATATTTAAACACAACATGCAATAAACTATATCTGAAAGTTTAGGTTAATGATGAGATATTCCACAAGGACCCCCCACTGACCACCAACCCGTCCGTCATGTACAGGGAGGACCCCCCACTGACCACCAACCCGTCCGTCATGTACAGGGAGGACCCCCCACTGACCACCAACCCGTCTGTCATGTACAGGGAGGACCCCCCACTGACCACCAACGCGTCCGTCATGTACAGGGAGGACCCCCCACTGACCACCAACCTGTCCGTCATGTACAGGGAGGACCCCCCACTGACCACCAACGCGTCCGTCATGTACAGGTAGGACCCCCCACTGACCACCAACCTGTCTGTCATGTACAGGGAGGACCCCCCACTGACCACCAACCTGTCTGTCATGTACAGGGAGGACCCCCCACTGACCACCAACCTGTCTGTCATGTACAGGGAGGACCCCCCACTGACCACCAACCCGTCCGTCATGTACAGGGAGGACCCCCCACTGACCACCAACCTGTCTGTCATGTACAGGGAGGACTCCCCACTAACCTGCATATATATGGACGGGAGAATGATGGTAACGTTGAACATCCAGAAGATGAAGGCGACCTTCAAGATGAGGAGCCACTCCCACCACTGGAGCTTGGCCATCCAGTCGAGGATGTGAGAGGGCGTCAAGTACTGAGTGTCGATGCTGATGGGGACCACACTCAGGTGGAGGGCCACGTCCTCCGCCATCTGGAGTACTAGTGCCTCTCATGTGGTCATGTCTACGCACCAACTTGCATTATATATACATATATTTTATATGACAATGATTTTCTGTCGCATCCCAAAACAGGCCCCAAATTTACAAGAAATCTCATCTGTCTTTAACATTTCATATCTTTTTTCAATATGCTCAAATTTCTGTAGTGAATTCTTAATTAAAATATCTTGAACAAAAATTTTTTAATGGGAAATTCATATATATTGTGTTGCCTAGCTCAACTTTTCATATCTATATAAAAGTGAATGACTGTCTGTTTGTTTGAGGTTAGAGGTCACATGGTTGGGGACATCCTCACCATGCTTTGCAGGGTGACCGGTCTTTGTGCGGAGATGGTCATAGGTGGGGTCGGGGCTACCCCCATGTCCACCCATTTGTGAAAAGGGAAATTACATTTATTTCCAGTCTTACTAAATACCAGACTCCATCTTAACTAAGATTCATCCAGAATATTACTTTAATTATTATTAAAGTTGTAGTTTGTCTCATAAAGTTTGTTGATGCACAGTGTGTAATGAGGATGGTCACAGTGATGAAAGGAAAGTGAAGAGTGGATGAGGTGGTGAAGGAGAGGGAAGGTAGGGTAGATGGTTACCGTGATGAGGATGGTTGCGAGTTGGTTACTGTGATGAAGATAGTGTGTTGTGAAGATGTGGACTGTCACCTAAGCAATGCCAGGAACTGCTCTCTGTTGATGTGATATATTAGTATTCCACCATTTGACAGGAAAGCTGTTGAGGACCAAAGGACACTTGCTGTCAACCCGTATTATGTCTGCTGTCAACCCATGTTACGTCTATTGTGAACTCATGGTCTGGCTGCTGTCAGTCTGTGTTATGTCTGCTGCTAACCATTGTTACATCTACCGGCAACCTTTGTTATGTCAGTTGTCAACCCATTACGTCTCCTGTCCACCTGTGCTAACTTCTGTTGTCAACCCATGATACAGCTCAGTAGTGTAAAGTATTACTATGACCATCCCTTATGGTCCGCGGCAGAGGATGGTCGTAGTCGTAACTCTTTCAGTAGACCTCAGCAGGAAACGGTCGTAGTCATACAATTTTCCGGTCCCATTGTAAAGCATGCTTAATGATACCAAATATTTGTTGGTGTCTAGTCAAAGAATTCTTCTTGGTACTAAATATTTGTCAGTGATTAATTCAATATTGCTTCATCCTAAAAAATATTTTTAATCTGCACGTCAAAGACTTCAAATATTTTTGGTCCTAGAAACTGCAACTAGGCTTATTAATTTTACAAATTGATTTATTTATTTTTACTGTTTGATCCTATACTCAGCACATATGTACCAAATCATACATATATCCAAGCCAAACAACTCGTCCATAAGAAGTAACGAAACTGCTGATTGCTATTAGCCCATTCACAATATTTTCTATTTATATCCACCAAACCTGATTCATAGGATATGTCAATATTAAGATTAATACAAGCAAATGATCCCTATCATCCCACCCACAAGAATTAATTAAACTGCAGAAGACACAGTGGCCCATATATGCTTCCTCCTATTAGTTTCAGACAACAAATTCATGCTAACAAACATGATAACAGCTCATACACCTATAGAGCCATTCTGTTCATCATATCCAATATTTATCTTTAATTAAGTATCCCATTATATTTTGCTATACCTTATTGCACATCTATTCTATCCTATCCTAACTTAGATAAATTTAAATAAATTTACCCAGTCCTATCTAAATGTAACTGAATTTATCAAACTGAACCTATTCCACCCAAATTTATCCTAACCTAAATTATCCTAGCCTAACCATACCGAACCTAACATTACCTACCCTAACCTTTTTTTTTGTTGCCGCCGAAGGCGGCTAGTTTATTGTGCACCCCATACTCATCCTGTGAGCGGTAGTTTATTGTGCACCCCATACTCATCCTGTGAGCGGTAGTTTATTGTGCACCCCATACTCATCCTGTGAGCGGTAGTTTATTGTGCACCCCATACTCATCCTGTGAGCGGTAGTTTATTGTGCACCCCATACTCATCCTGTGAGCGGTAGTTTATTGTGCACCCCATACTCATCCTGTGAGCGGTAGCGCAAAAGCATTACAGAGGGCACAAAAGGTCTTTATCAGACCTCATCTTAGATTATTACATAAACAATTTCTTCAATCCTTCATACCTTATAGATACAATGTCAGCTAGTTACAGAGAAAGTGCTATTACAAGAGCTACATATTTACAGTAAGTCATCATACATTAATGGTAGGTTTTATCGTTAATACATAATAGTTTGGCCAATGGGGATATTACAGAGTCATAGGGGAGCTTCTGTTTATTATTAGTCCTCACAATACACTACTTGTTTCTGAATCTCATATGTCGTTCATCTACTGGAAGCAAAATGTGGATACAGTGCAAGGATTTCAGGTAATTTATCCATGGTAATGAGATAGGTTGCCATATCATACAGAGTGAGCTTAGACTTATCTCTAAAAGGCTCAATTTTACAACAATCCAAGATATAGTGTTCGAGTGTGTGTCCCTGCCTATGTCCTAAGTTTGCCTATCCTATGATATTCTATCCAAAGCTAAATTCGATCAATCCTAACTGAATTTATCTCATTCCTAACAGAATTTAAAATATTAGTTAATCATTACCAAAACCATTATCAAAAATACACAACTACATGAATGTGGGATATTTATTCTAAAAAGGTGAACTTGAGAATCAATTCCCCTGCATGATATCTGCAATAAGGGGGACATATGCATGATATATATATTAAGGGAACTCATAATATAGCCTATCCAATTATATCTTAACATAATTTATCCCCCTATGTCCTCATCTATCCCATGTCCTCACATCACAGCCTACAATCTTGCTGAACCTAGTCCCACCCTCGACCATATGTCTAAAATCTCGAATACCTAATTAAAGCACAATCTCACCCTGTCTTTGGTTATATATCATAGAAAGACATAATTTACAGCCATTTTCCTCATTTAACATCCCAAACACCCATCATAAAACTATCTGAATATTTATATATATATTCCCAATCCATCAGATATCCACGTCCATCCACACCTGAATATAGCACACTATGACCACACTTCTAAAGTATAAATCATAAAGAGTATAATTTACAGCCATTTTTCTCAGAAATAATCCCACATACCCATCCTATCCCTAACAATATATATATACCCACCCAATCCCAGTTACCTTTCATTAATTCTCAAGTCCACCGTTATAGGATAAAAAATCTACACTCATGTACTTGTGTATTTTAGGTAATGATTTAAACTACACTGAACTGATTTGAACGTGGGAACTGAAACGAAGTTTAACAGTTGGATTCGAAAACTACAACTTAACAAGAATGATATATTGAAGAATACATGAGTAAATTGCAAAAGATGACGCGGGATGAAATGAAACGTCTGGAGAACGTTAGGAATAGTTTGGAATAGGTAAGTACAGTTAGTAAGTACTGATAGTGAAATGGCTTACCAGCACGGACTCTCAGCTATGGTCACCCCTCCACTCTCATCCTCCCTCACTCACTCACTCTCACTATCGCAAAAATAGGAATTTCTAGAATTACTGCAACAAACGCAAATAGCAAAGTATACACATAATTTGGATGGAGGAATGTGATTAGACAAACGTCCATGCTTAAAGAGCAGTGTTGGTGATATGATCCAATACTGAACGATTGACTAAGTAAGACTTATATGACATAAAATACAAATGTAAGTTAAACTAGTAGCTACATATAGATTATTTCATTTCGTTTGATGCTTAAAGAGCAGTGATGGTAGTTATGATATGAAGCAGAATGATTAAAAGTAAGTTGAGCTAGTTAGTGAATAAAGACGTCTTAATTAGTTTTGTTACTACTTAAATCAATAATGATATGATCAGGATAGGTTGACTTAGTTAAAAGTCTATTTTCATAATGACTTAGAAAGATTTTGAAGCAGAGTTAAGAAGATATATTACAGAGAGATTATCCTAGTTATATTACAGAGAGATTATCCTAGTTATATTACAGATTGATATGTCTTAATAAAAGTTTATGTTAATAATAGCATCAGGTGCGCACTTTTAATAATAATGCACTATAAAAGTTTAGATGGGAAATTTAAGAACGTTCATACATTTCCCATCTGAGCTTACCTAAGCTAAGACTAACAGCGGGGATCTGAGAATTACAACATTACACAGAAGTCACAGGAGAGAATGATAAGTCTGGAGAATACTGGGAATTTGCATGGAATAGGAACAAACAGTTAGGTAAATACCAAGAAGAGAGGCTCCCCTACACTCAGACTCATGCATGCTTGCTCTCACTCTCGACTCGTCTCACCCACTCTCACCTGCACTTTTACCCACACTCTTACCCACCCACCCTCTGCTCTCCACGCTCACTCAACCCTCGCTGCTCTCTCACATTCTCACCTACACTCTTTCCTGACTCTGAAATAGTTTGACTATTTCTAGGATGGTAAAACGACTAGGATGGTAAAAGAAAAAAAATTAATAGAAGAGATCGCACTGAAATAATATGATATTGCTACAAATGACAAGTACTGTGCCCTTACTACATCCAAAATACGATGGTCAAAATGTATAATTTAAAAAAAAATATATGAGTGCACGCAAGAGCTAAGACCATTTCCACATTCAAAATTAATGAGTTTAAAAGTATAATAGAAAACAGTTATGTCTGGGGGCTACATTCTTTACTAAGTTCAAAAATACGATGGTTTAAGATTGGAGGAAATCTTACCAATACATCTAGATATTCCGCTACAACTAGGCGTCTACCATACACACGCACCATAAAAGTTGCCCAATATGTGTAACTGACTCGCCTGTTCAACGGTATCAATCACTCATTTGTACAAGGGAGCCGGTCAGCTGAGCGAACAGCACGCTGGATTTGTGATCCTGTGGTCCTGGGTTCGATCCCAGGCGCCGGCGAGAAACAATGGGCAGAGTTTCTTTCACCCTATGCCCCTGTTACCTAGCAGTAAAATAGGTACCTGGGTGTTAGTCAGCTGTCACGGGCTGCTTACTGGGGGATGGAGGCCTGGTCGAGGACCGGGCCGTGGGGACACTAAAAAAAA